ATATTAACCGACTCTTGTTGGCTTAACACCTCCAATAATATACATCCATGTGTATATTATTTCGAGGCAAGCAGGCAAGCAGATATTGATTATCATACCCCTGATACTCAGCTTCATCTGCTTTTTAGGTTATCCGCCCTTCATAAATATTAAAAAACATAAAGCAAAGAAAATGTGTCGTGCAATTAATTTCTGAAACGACCGTCTCTGTGATGAAAAACACTGTGTACTAAATGATGATGAGGGTTACTAGTTTAAAGTCAGATCTATCCATTTATAATCATAATATTAATTCAAGGTTTTTCTACGGGAATACCCACATCAGTGTGTGGCCTAGACTAGCTCTTAAGAGAAAAAGTTGCGTAACAGCCATCGCTGCCTGGCTAACACAGAAGTGACCTGTCAACTTACTTAAAGGTTTCTGTTACCTCGACTGTCACTAATGCTGACAAGAGTAATATTGAAAGAAAACGTTCATATTCAGCAATTTTAGTTTCAGCATTCTGAAATTCGCGTAAGCTGACAAACGATGGGTGATGTTATGACAGTCTAAAACTAGCGACAACTATTTCTGTCGCATAATAAATGAGATAGGTAGAATGAAAGAAAATTATTTACTAAGCCCAAAGTATGAAGAAATTGCTTTCCTCGATGATTGCATTTTAAACTACGATATATAAAAGTAAATAAAGTTGAAGATGAATTTAATACCGAGTGCGGGGAACAGTACAGAAGATGTTTATGCATTTTTAGAAAGGTTCCGATAAAGAAATAAAAATAAAATAGTTTTGTTATAAAAATTTTTGGCAACTCCTTCTTATCTGGAGTGAGAAAAATCGTTTGCTACCTTTAAATTTATTATTCTTTCAAAATTTTGTATATAAACCAACTATGGTGTAAAGGATATGTTTTTGTATTTTCCGTAGAGAAATATTCCTATTTCTTAAACTAAAAACGTGTGAAATGCAGGGAATTAAAATTTCTAAGAGAAAAATAAGCAACATTATTAATCGGGAAGGGAAAAGCAGTCAATCATTACTTATACATGGAAAGAAGACTCCAAACGTTACCCGATAAAGAGTGCGTACAGTTTCATATGCTTCTAAAGTTAAATCGTTTGGCTGACGCAGAAATCAATTTCAAAGTCTTTAAGTACATATTTAGCAATAATAAATAAAATAATACAAGATTTTCAAATTAAAATAACAAAAAAAAGCAAAAGCAGAATTTTCTGAAACATGTGGCTCAACACAGAACAATTTGTAGAAGCCCGTATTATTATTTAGTGGAAGATAAATGGAAATACATTATGGCCCTCGATCAAGCATGAGTTTCCTTAGTGAATACCACGAAACATAAGGTTTTATTTATTATCGGAACGAAAGAAAAACAAAATCTGAAAACTTCAATCTTCCAACTTCCTTCAATTCAAAGAAAGTTTTAGTAAAGAGTTTATGACTGTAGAAGGATTCATGGAAAAATCATAAGAGTGAAAAAAAGGTATTAAAATCAACTCAACATACTGTCAAGACAAACTTTTACGTCCGATATTTACAGAAGAAATTCCATCCCAATGAGCTTCGAAGAGTGAAATTTCATCAAGACAAAGCAACATGTCAGACTTGGTAAAGTACCACTGCATTCTTTGGAAAAATGAAGACTGATACATGTATTGCATATATGCCTTTTCAACATATTCCTGCGAAGTCCCTTAGAGTTTCAGTTATAGACTATTGTTCTTTTGGTCTCTTAAAAAGAGCTCTTGCTAAGCGCAAACCCACCACCATTGATGGCCACTGGAAGCAAGGGAAGAGGAATGGAAATTTAAAAAAAAATCCCTTCTGTGGTGGCAATCACAATGCAGACTCACATCCCAGAAAAAAGGCTATCAGATCGAACATTTGAAAAAATACTCTTTACATTTTAAACATGAATTAAATGTCTCCAATTCATTCTAAAAATGTCTAGCGCATTAGTTAATACTCACAAGACACAACTTTAAACAAAATTTCAGCTAACTGTGAGCTTGAAAATATGTTTTAATATGCAGAAAAAATTATGGAAAAAAAGGAACCATAATATTAAAATCATAATTGAGACACTAATTAGAGTTTCACTAAAATGCTCATGGTACTTTATAAATTTAGTTAGCACATCATCTTAATTAACTCCTCTTAATATTACTTAAAGCAATCAAATTAATATAAAGTGAAGAAAATTAAAAAAATTAATTTTGAGCACATTTTTTAATTGAAATTTTTTTAATAAAAATTTTAACTAGTACTTTTTTTAAGGTGATTGCGAATTATATGAGTGAAATTATAAAAAAACTATTAAATCAAAGAATAATTACTAGGGATTGAGTAATTATTCAAACTAGCGAAATCTTTGTTAACACTATTTTAGCAGTAAAATAAAGGGGAAATTAAAAAACACTGCTATATTATTCATGTATTTACATATATATATTCTTAACAGCTCTAATTGCAACTGCAAAACGATTAACATGGTATGGGTTTTAATTTTTAATTGCTTGTCTTATTTTCTCCATCTATAAGCATTCCGAAATCAACCATTTACAAGCGAAAAAAAATTCATAATGCTCCATGTACTAATGTGTGAAAAAAAACTGGAATAATTTCTTGATGAGCGCACGTGACGAATACTATGGAATAGTTTATCATTCCAGTATTAAAATATTAATCGAAGGCTAATTACTTCAGAAATTTAGAATATTAGAGCAGCATATGCGTAAAATCACTGTCAACTAAAACAAAATTTATAAATCCAAAAGGGCAGTTTGCATATAAGAACTATTAATTTCGTTTTGGCATTTTGCGTTGATTCACTATAAGCGTTGTTTCACTTTTCAAATTGTTTCCCCCAAATATTATCACGTTATGTCTTTTAAGAAATTAAATATGAAGAATCTGCATAAATGTATGTATGTTTCTCGCATTGTGATAAAACAACTTTACCTAGCGCCATCCAATTTTGAATAACGTAATCCTGCTCCGAATATGGGCATCTGGAAGCCGAAATTTGGAATTTGTTTTATTATCGATTTCATATTCTGCATTGGTTCACTATAAACGGCGTTTCATATTTCAAATTGTTGTCACCAAATATTAGAGCCCTGCATTACATTTATGGAATCTGCAAGAGTGTATTTATGTTTCTCGCACTCTGAAGAGCAACGGTACCTAGAGACATCAAACTTTGAATAACGTAGTCTTCCACTCGAAGATAAGCGTCTGGAAGGGAAAATTTTAATTTGTTTTATTACATATTTCATATTTTGTAAAACTTTAACGAATTTTTGAATAGCAAACTCAATTTCAAAACGACCAATGGCAGTGTTGCACAGGAGAACCATTTTTATCTCCAGCACGCGAGACTGTGTATCGGAAATTCTAAATATATGTGTAGTTGGTTGTGGTAGTCGTGCCGAGACAGATAAGCATCGTTGTGTTAAACCGTAGCGTAGGGTTCAGTTGCTTCACACATGTCACCGTCGATCGACGCATAGATGACACCCATTTTTTGTTTGTTTAACAATAAACTTTAATAAGTAAACAATTCTTGATTATTATACATTATATGTACAAGCATGAATAGGTAAGTCCGGCATGGTCTCCGCCGGATGAGAAAAAAAACCTCTCCATGACGAAAGAAAATGGCGATTCTCCCCCGCCAAAAAAAAAAAACTCCGACCGTCCCGTCCGACAACCAGGGTGCCAAGTCCTCTTCGCCCCCCCTCGTCTTCTTGTTCGTCCTTTTCTACTTCCGTCCAACGAACCACCTGCTCCGTCGGACTAATTATTCCGCTCGCTAGGCTTTTCCTTCTCCTTCTCGGGTTATGGGCATTACACGCCCCCACCAAGATGAAGATTTGCCTCTTAAAGGCTAATTTTCACAACAGGTTCAACCGAACCGTTCAGCGTTCATTAGAAATAATGTAGAGTTCATTAGATACAAAACCCAGCGTTCATCCTAAGCAATTCCGAATTCGTCAGAATCAGAATTCAGAGGTTTATTAGTTGACACACTTGATTTCATACAAAATGTCAAAGTTCCTGATGGCTGACATGGATACTGAAATTTTTCAGCCTCCTACCCGACCAAGTGCAGGGGGTACTTAGAAACCAAAATCTGATCAGGATACAAAAGTCTTCTTACCATGTTTATTCGTTTAACAAATACAAATATTACACTAAACCTAACTGCATAAATACATTCTACATTAGACAAACATTTTTTTTTGTTTACCAACATCATTTAAACAAGTTATCTCGAAAAGTATTTTAAGGACAAGAATTAAGAACTTCTGAATATCTGTGGTTCCTTTCTTAAAAAAAAAAAAAAAATATTACTATTTTTCACACCAATCGTGACAATGCATCTGCGGCTCGATGTTGTACTCCTGGACGATAAGTGATTTTTAAATTCCATCTTTGCAAAGAGAGAGCCCAACGTGTTAATTTTGGACTCCTAGGTGTAATTTCAGTGAGATATTTCAAAGGATTATGGTCCGTAATGATTTCACCCCGTCCCCCCGAAAATCCACTTATCAAATTTCTTGAGCCCGAATAACACTGCCCAGGCCTCCTTTTCTATGGCTGCCCAATTCTTTTGAGCCCCAGAAAATTTTGGGATGCAAAAGCTATTGGTTTAAAATGCCCTTGTGCATCTGAGTTTAGACAACAACCGACGGCCACATCTGATGCATCAGAATGCACCTGAAATGGAAAATTAAAGTCAGGCGTGGTCAGAGACGTCACCTGACACAGCATATCTTTCAACTTCTGGAAAGCCGCGTCTTCAACTTGACCCCACCGTACATTATTCGGCGCATTCTTTTTCGTCAAATCCGTCAAAGGTCCAGCTATCTCGGCATAGTTCGGGATATATGAGCGATAAAAATCCCATGAGACCCAATACCGAACGGACTCCCTTTTTATTCGTGGGCCTTTCTAGCACTTTAATTGCTGCAATCTTACTAGGATCTGGGCCGTGTTTTGCCGTTTCCTATCTTATGTCCTAGGTAATCTATTTCCTTAGCTGCAAAATCACACTTACTGAGCCTGACAGAAAATTTTAACTGTTCCAGTATCTTAAGGATCGTTTCTAGATGCTTCAGGTGTTCTTCAAACGTGTTTGAAAAAATTATAATATCGTCTATATATGCTTGGGCGAAATCGCTGTACTGGAAAAGAACCTTATTCATTTCTCTTTGAAAGGTACCTGACGCTCCTGCCAAACCAAACGGCATGACGTTCCACTGAAACGTCCCGTTGTGAGTTGAAAACGCTGTCAGTGGTTTACTTGATTCCTCCATTCCGATTTGCCAGTATCCTCTGCGCATATCTAAACTTGATAGCCATTTTGAATGCCCAGCCACATATATTAATTCATGCATATCCTTCATAGGAAATGCCGGCACTTTAGTGATCGAATTCAATGCCCTGAAATCAACGCACATCCTGATTGTCGCGTCTTTCTTGACCACACACACAACCGGGTGGGCTATGTCCGCTTCCGACGGTTCAATGAGACCCAGCTCTAGAAGTTCCTTGACTTGTTTGTCCACCTCTTGCGATATATGCCATTGGAATGCCATAACAATGAGGTTTTTTTCTGTCTGCTCCAGGCATAATATCAATCTTATGTTGTCTAGCAGGTTGAACATGTCTCAAAAATAAGTTCTTGTACTTTCTCAACAGTAGTTTTAGATCATTAATCTGCTTGTTGTTAAGATTAGTGGTACTTAGATTATTTAACCTGCTTTCAAAACTACTATCCTGGTCTAAAGTAGAGGGAATATTGTCTACCTCCCCGAACTCTTCCCCGTCAAACATTACATTGATTGCATTTGACCGCACAATGAATTTCCTTATTTTATTTTGATGTACATGCTTAATGCTCCCGTCAGCCAATTCTACTAAAAAAGAGTGTGGGTTTTTTCCTTTCCTTTATCACTGCAGGACCCTGCCAACGAGCATATAACCTGTTGCTTGAATCAGGTATGAGGACTACAACCCTATCTCCTATTTCAAAAGTTTTACTCGAAGAGCGCAAATTATAATACTGCGCCATCCTACCTTGTTGGATTTCACTCGTAAGATCAGCTTGCTCAGCAGCACGTTTCAACCGCTCCTTCAAATCTTGCAAATATTTATGAATTGGCTTCAGATCGAATTTTAATTCGTCATGCTCCCCTAACCATGTAGATTTTAAAATAGATAACGGTCCTTGTGGGGGTCTACCATACAATAGTTGGAAAGGTGATACCCCTGTAGTACTGTTAGGTATTTCCCTGTATGCCCATAATGCGTAAGGTATTTGGACATGCCAAGCTCGACCTTCCTCTCTAATAATATGATGCAACATACGTTTCAAAGTCTGATTAAACCTTTCGACTAAACCATTTGACTGAGGGTACATGGGTGTCGAAAATCTCGGACTGGATCCTAATCTTTTCTCAAATTCCCGTGTTAAGTTAAGTCTGCGTTAAAATTGGTACCATTATCTGACGCAATCACATTAGGAATTCCGGTCCTGGAGAAAATCTGCAGCAACGCGTCGCAGGTAGTCTTTTGCCGTCAGACTGGTTAATGGCACTGCCTCGGCCCATCTAGTATGCTGGTCCACCAAGCACAAAATATATTTATGCCCCTTCGAACTAGGAGGATCTATAGGTCCGATTAAATCTACATTGACAACCTGAAAAGGTAACCCTGGTCTTGCTACTGGAGTAATTGGCGCACTCTGTCCTTCACTTTCACTGGCTTTGTTAATTGACAACTTTCACATGATTCGCAAAATTCCTGGACATCTCTTTTCACGTTTTCCCAATAAAAAGGAATAACGAATCCTCTCTAATGTTTTTTTAATTCCCATGTGTCCTCCAAACACTGATGCATGCGCGAGCTCTAGAATTTCATTCCTTCTGCATTTAGGAACAACTAATTGCTCTGCACTCTTGTCCCAAAATCTTGTCCCGATGAAAAAGAAAATCCGTCCCTCACAAAATAATTTCCTTTATCCGTTTTCGCTCTTTCCCACATCTTAGATAAGTCAGTGCATTCTTTCTGCTGCTGACGAAACTCCGCTGTCTGAGATAAATTAGTTGTTTTCTCCACTAAGGGCGCTCCGACATCTGGGATAGCAGCTACGTGGCTTTGAATGTCCGTTTCTAACTTACCCTGAGGTGTTTCTGCCTCTCCCACGTTCGAGGAATCCTTCGATTCGTAGAACCAAACCACTGCTACTTCCGTTCTCCGTTGAACTGTCGATCTTTACAAGTGTTTTCGCCCGTAACATATATAACACCTGTGGGGGTAATAAAACATCTTCAACTAAAGATTTCGCCACCGCGCAAAGTATCTCCTGATGCACATTTGTACCCTTTCCATTAATTAGTGCTAAAGGTAATTTTACTAACTCACACCTTCTCGGCGGTCCAAAAATCCCCTTCAAATAAATTGCCGATCCGCTTCCAGATCTAAAATTTGGAATTATACTTTCCTTTACAACCGTTATCTCACTGCCAGAATCGATTAATCCGTTACATTATCCGACCGTTTACACTAACCTGCACTCTATCCAATTTGCATAACTCCTCTTCGATTGATTGTCTAGAAATTTCCTTTCCAAAATGTCCCGCTTTGGCAACAATAACTCTGTTCTCTTGAGTTTCGATAACCTCTCCACTATCTACTGCACTTGCTCTGTTCACTTTCGCAAATTTGTCCTTCGTATTTTTATTTTGAGGGCAATCACGCTTAAAATGTTCTCTTGACCCGCATTTGTAACATGCGAAATTTTTCTGAGGAGAGTTTATTTTGCCTCTATTTGACACTGTTGAAGCCTGCTTCTCTGGACCAAGTTTATAGCTTTCTTTTGGCTTTACTTTAATCCTCTCTGGTGATAATCCCTCTTTAATATCATTCTCTTTCCTATAACCCTTAGCGTAAGATTTCCCGGTTGCCGAAAAAAACATATCGCATTCTCTCGCTAACTCCTTTGGTTTCCACCAATTTTCACCTTGCTTAATACCAATATGAGTAGCAGTTTCCGTATCGAGCGTTTCCATTAATCTGTCCGCAACTACTAACTGATTGACAGTTTCCAGATCCGTCGCTCCCCTCAATTTGCAGTAATAACTCCACATAGAATTTAATCTTGTAGCAAACTGAGTAAAATTTTCCTCCGGGTTCCTTTTAGCCCGCTTAAAATTTTCCAAACAAGTCTTAGGTGAAGGTTCATATTCCCGAAGCACTATGGTTTTCAAAGCCTCGTAATCCTCGTACTGTTCTTCCTCTAAATAAGTTAAAAGATGCGCAGCTTTGTCTCCTAACAAACACATTAACACCTTAGATTTTAAATTATCCGCTACTTTCTCACTCGCGAGGGCCTTTTCTAAACTGTTAAAAAAATAATTCCAGCCTTCTGACCCTGCGGGGAACCCTCACCGTCAGCAATTTTATAGTTTTCACAATTTCATCCAAACTTTTAACTCTGGGACTCATTGTCGAATCCACCGGACCTTCCGAATTTAGACTCCGGTTTTCCGCTTCGAGTCTTAATCTTTCTAATGCTATCCGTTCGCTTTCTATGCGTAATCTCCCCTCGGCTAGCTCTATATTTTCTTTCTCTTTCCTCTCGGAAATGATCGAAGTTAACAGCTCTTTAACTACATCCTCTTCGTAATTTTTACTTCCCAGAATGATATTTTTTAATTCGATCATTTTTAAATCATCCGAGACAACTTCCCCTAATTCATCGGCCAGAAGTACAAGATCGGCCTTCTTTCCTTTCATTAAATATGCCATAATGAAATATTAAAACAATATGCACAAGCAATAAAATCAAAAAACTTCACTGATAATTACTATAACATAAGTCATAAAGTATAAAATACAGCCACTTATTTTTGTAAAAGAGATATACAAAAATCAACCAGTTATTCTAAAAAAAATTATTTTACCTACTAAAATTTAAATATACAAGCATATATGCACTCTAATCAATTATCTGAGCTTTTACATACTTTATGAGTTGATACAAAAAATGACATCTGTCAGTTAAATGTTACAACAATCCTTTTAACAAATTTTAGTACTTTACCTCAGAATAACTTTACATTTGATATGAAACAGTAATAAAACCGTAAATAGTATTTGCAGTAAGAAAAAATATCACTGAAAATTACTCTTCACTAAATACACAGTTCCCTAAATTATTCATACGACAAAAACACATACAAAAGTTTACATACATAAAATATATATATAACACTTAAATTCTACCGAGCTTCCACCATTTCCGGAGCTCCAAAACCAGAATTTCAATTGACCTGTGTTATGATACCCCTAAACTTTTGTATCCTGACGCAGAATAATTTTAAACTTAAAGAAGTAATTTAACTTCAGATAAAATTTCTCCTACAGTTTGCTTTACAATCTTGCACCTTTTAGCCGTACCCAAACAAAAAAATAAGATACCCTGCATCCGATCGAACAGAGAACTAAAAAAAATCGGTACTCACCCCTGCGATGAAGCATTTGATCGCAAAGCTGCCACCATTGTAGTTGGTTGTGGTAGTCGTGCCGAGACAGATAAGCATCGTTGTGTTAAACCGTAGCGTAGGGTTCAGTTGCTTCACACATGTCACCG